TTGGGCGTTGGCCTCATATACACCTTTGTTGGTCCAGTGGCTGTTTTTTTCCCCGATGCAGGTGGGAGTTGGATTCAGTGAGTTTGAAGAAGCTTCATTCCTCTCAAACCTGCACCTTTCCCCAGAGCCAGACTAACCGCTGATGATACTGAGTATCATAAAACACCACACACATACTCGCTTTTCAAGCTTCTTGAGTGTTTGTTTTCCCCACAGCTTTGGGATGGATTATGCTTCTCGTTTTGCAGCAGTGGAAATGTAAGTTTAGAGGGTGTTTGTGGCTCAGCAAGATCCCAGTGTGAGCAATTGCCTGAGCTAGGATTCAAACTCAAGTTTCCAGACAGTCTTCCCATTTGCCGCCCCCAGACTTGTCTCCTCTCTTTCCTTGGCCATAGGGAAAGTACATAGCCCACTCCTGACTGTACCCTAAGCTTCCAACATATTGGCCAGAACCTTGTTCCAGAACTTGCCTAAGATTCTGGAGGGAGCTTGACCAAGACCATATTATAAATGAATACTGTCATGGTGTCTTGAGGATGTTCTCAGGGGTGTCTGGACTCTCACATTTGCATAAGCAGCTGAAGAGGAGGGGGAACCCATCTCCCAAATCAGCTTGGGAAGCATAATGGATTCAGGGAAAGTCATTGAAACCCCCGTTCCTAAAAACCCATGGCTTAAGGAATTAGCCCAGAGCGCCGAGGAAACAGAATGTAGGTGTCAGTGAGTCTCTTGCAGATCTTATGAAAATAGAAGTTCTGTTTTAATAGGTCTGGGTGGGGGGTGAGATTCTGGGCTACTGGTCTAGGACACAATTTGGACAGCAAGGATTTAAACCACTGACTCTCAAAAGTAGCCTAAAGTCTGGGAGTAAACCCAATGCCTGGCTTCTAACCCCAGAGATTCTAACTTAATTGGCCTGAGATAAAATTCGATTTTAATTCTCTATGGTAAGTATTTCCACCTACAAAATGAATAGAATGGCATCTAGCTATCTCATAGTGGTAGGAATATAGATGAGTTATATGGAGGCTATACTGTACCTGGCTCATAAGAGGCTCAGTAAACTAAACCAACATTTGTGTTTTTTCTTCCAAAATCCCAGGTGGCAGCAGTGGGCTTTGTCTCCTGAAAATGCCCCCTTTCTTTAATTGGCATACTTACTCTCCTGAGTGCTCAACAGCCTTTTGAAGGAAAAAGATGGCTCTCCATTCACATTTTCATATCGTTGTAAAGAGTTTTTATTCCCTTTTCACGGGTGGGGTGCTAATTTGCTATTTTTCCCTAGAATGAAGCCCCTGTTGAAAGAGATTTTCTTTGATTATTCATTTAAGAAATAGTCATTAAAGGGCGATCTGTTTTGCCCCAGGAGATTGCTGGGCTATGAGGACTCAGTGCTGAATAAGATAGAGTTCCTGCCTTTGAGGAGTTTGGATGTTTGAGGGATACTACAGCGAGAACCAGGGCTGGACAGCCCTGTTACGCACATAAGGATGGAACACGTATGGAGGAAGGCAGAAAGGAATTTGGGGAGGCCAGAAGAGGCAAGAAGACCTCTTTCAGATCAGAACAATGATAGGAGTTTACCAGGCAAAAAAGGAAAACAAGGACAGAGTATCTGCCAACATCTGGTGGCAAAACTGAGAACAGAAGGCTTGAGGAATTGGGAGAAGTTCCATGTGATCTGAGCAGAGAGCACCTGGAGGGGAGAGGGAGCATGAAGCTAGCGAGAAAGGTGGGGTCTAGATGGAGAGAGAGCTGGTTCAGATACCTTAGATTTCAAGAAGGTTGCATTTGTAGGGATTGGAGCAAGGAATGTTGGAAGGCGGATGTTCACACACCAGGACTTGAATCCCAGCTCTGCCACCCATTGACTGTGTGATGTTGGCCATGCTACTCAGTGTCTCTGAGTGTTAATGTCATTGCTGAGGGGGGATAATAATGTCTACCTCATAGTAGGTTGTTTTGGGAATTAAATGAGTGAGTACATGAAAAGCTGGGCAAATGATTGTTACTATTGAGCCCAAGGACAATGGAGAGTTGTTATTGCTATTAGGAGCTGGGATTTGTGAGGAAAAGACAAGAGGCAAAGATGTGAGTTAGGAGCTAATGAGAGTAGTGCAAGTGAGATGATTGTGGCTAGGACTAGACAATTGGGTGAATGGACAGATGCGGATTGGATGGGAAATAGGAAAGAAGGGTCATGTGAAACTCACTTTGAGTGACTTTGAGATTGAGAATGCAGGAATGGTAAGAAGTTCGGGGTGTCGTGAGGTCAATGTTGTGCATGCTGAGATTGTATCTATCAGGTACCGGTTGTGGAGTACAGGAAGCTTAGCGGGAAGGCATTTATTAGAGGGTATTACAGGCTTACAGAATTGTCTGGAGGGCTGAGGAAACAGTCCAGCTTGAGCTTGCAGGAGCAACCTCTACCCCCTCTCCTAGGAACTGCGCTGCTGGGGTAGCTGCTATCTAATCGATAATCTTGCAACCAGGAAGCTGCCCCCTTCGGGAGCCACCACACTGCTGTTTCGAACAGGAAACCATGACAATCAGGAAGCTGCTACTGCTGCCAGTTATAGAACCACTGGGAATCTGTAACAGACCATATCAGCAGAATGCATGCTCCTCTCTTTCCACCCAGACGCGCCCCACCTGCTAAGCCAGTATCTGAACGTGGGGACCTCTGCAAAAGCAGCTGCAGAGAAGCCAAGCACCTCCAGAGCTGGGCTTGCGGTGCATGGGATGAGCATAGCACAATCCGGTCCACCTCAGATGAAGCTATTCTAGAGCAGCGGTCGCCAACCTTTTGGACCTCATGGACCACCAATGGTCCGTGGACCACCATTGGCAACTACTGTCCCAGAAGTTAGTTTTCCAACTTCTGGAGCAGAGAAAGTCACACTAGAACGGTGTTTTGTAAATTGTGAGTTGTGACTCACGAAAGCATCATCAGATCAATTCAGGAGGTCACAAGACTTTTTTTCTTAGTCATGAGTAGTAAAGGCAACTATTACTTAATGTAATGAAACTTCTGTCTGAGGTGTGTGAGTGTGTGTATCCTTATTTGCAAAGTGGAACATTCTTCCCTCTAGATCATGATAAAAAATCAAACCCTCAAAAGTCACTGCACTGGACTTGCGGGGTCTCAGAGAGAACTAACGGGCAGACCCCAGAGTCTACTGAATATGTAGGGTTGGGTTTTAAGAGAAAATCAAAGCTGGGTATCTATATTATATCGTCACTGGCAAGAAGCTCTGGGAGTTACGTGACCCAGGGAGATGGTGTGGAGTGTCAAGGGAAGGAGGTCTGGAACAGACCCCAGGGAGCGCAAGCATTTCATCTCGGGGCAGGAATTTTCTCGGGGGATGTGCTGGTCCTGCTTGCACTCTGGCAGTTTTCACATGTTCTCCAAAAAAAGCTGGATCCGGGGAAGCCTCGGAGCGCTGGAAAGGTGTGTTCCAAACACACATGAACTAGGGCTGATTTGGCTGCTGCCTGGCACAGCCATGGCACACACCACACTGGATCATCAGCCAGCACCTGGCATGGGTCCAGGCACCATACTGGCACTGTGACATGTATGGAATGGATACGCAGAGCAGAGAAGTTCTCAGGATGGCTGGAAAGAGTTCCTCAAATTCCAACATTCAGGAGCTGGTCCAGAGGGGGCTAATCTCACCAGCCAAGGTTGACTCAGTAGCTCTGGGCTACTGCAGCAACCTCCTGGTCTGTGATCCAAGGTTTTCTGCTTTCACTTACCCACAGTCCACCGTGGTCTGAAATACTAAATGGGAAGTTCCAGAAATGAGCAATTCATAAATGTTAAAGAGCAGGCTGTTCTGAGGAGTGTGATGAAATCTCACACTGTCCAGCTCCATCCCAACCGGGACATGACTCATTCCTTTGTCCCCCGCAGCCACACTCTACATACTCCCTGCCATTAGTCACTTGGTAGCTGTCTTGGTGATCAGATCGACTGTTGCAGTATCACAGTGCTTGTGTGCCGGGAGCCGGTCCATGCTTGCTGTTTCAAGGGACCTGGCATATATGGCATACTGTTCTTAATATATTTGCTCACCTTCTTGGCACTATGTGTTTTAACCAAGGTCTCTGAGAAAGGTTGTTTTCCCAGGTAGGGATTTTCCCCTGAAGTTAGGGAGGGAATAAAACCTCTTAACTAAGTGTCAGGCGGGTAATTAATCACTTTATGAACAATCACGCTTAAGCTACATAATCTTTACTCCCTGGAATGGAGATAAGAAACGCCCTAACCTTTGTAATAGAGATTGATAGGATTGGAATCAACTGGTATAAATACAGATGTAAGAACACAGAACTTAGAACACAGAACTTAGAACACAGAACTTAGAACAAAGAACTTAGAACACAGAACTTAGAATAGACAGAACCTACACAGAACCTACAGACAGAAGAACTTCGCTGGAGAGAAGATGGCAAAAGATCCTGGACTGAACCTGACTACAGAAATTGGCAAGAGAACCTGACTAGAACCTGATGACTGAACCTGGCTGGAGAACCTAGCGAGGGAACATGGCTACAGAACCTGGCTGGAGAACCTAGCAAGAGAACATGGACACAGAACCTGGCTGGAGATCCAGACCAGAACTTGGCTGGAGATCCTGGCTAGAGATCCTGGCTAGGCTGCTGATCAACTGAACACTGTCTCCGTGTCCTTCCTTCTTCGCCGACTCCGTCCACGCCTTTGGGGACCCCTGGACCTGCTGGGGTTGGACCCCGGCACTTGTGCTCAAGTCACCCTTATTTCACTTCACAGTAGCCCCTAAGCACAAGAACAGTGATGCTGGCAATTGAGATATTCCAAAGAGAAGCCAGAAAGTGCTTTTTTTTTTTTTTTAAGAAAAAGAATGAAAAGTTAAGTATGTATACGAAAAAACAAAACACAGTACATATAGGGTTTGGTATGCCATGGTTTCAGGCATTTACTGGGGGTCTTGGAACGTATTTCTTGTGGATAAAGGAGGAACCACTCTATCATTTTTAAAGAGTATTTTGTTGCATAGAAAACTGGCAATAAGGGGTGGGAGCTGTTCAGGATGGTGGACTTTATTGCAGCTAACTCAGGAGACAAACTGAATGTGCATCCATAGAAAAATGGGCAAACTGTGTATAGTTAAACAAGGAAATACCAATAGGTGGCAATTAAATGAATGAGCTCGATCTACATGTATCAATCTGCATGAATCTCAAAAACCTAAGGTTATGTGAAAAAAACTCAAGCACAAAATGTTATATAAAGTATGATATTGTTTATTGAAATGTTAAAATCCACACAAAACTCTCTTATATAGTCTAATGGGAGAGCAAGTATAAATTTATGTAAGCGGAGGAGACACACAAACTTCCAGGCAAGGGCTTTTCTCTGAGGAGCGTGTAGGAACGTGGATGGAGGGTTGAGATTTTAGCTCTATATGGATTATTTTCTTTTTAAACAGAAGCAGAGACATATAGTAACATATTAATAGTTATTAAATTAGCTGGTGAGGCATGGGAAAAATACTATTTTCTGTTCTTTCTATAATTAAAAAATATTTACAAATGAATATACATTTTATAATGCCCAGAGCAAGAATCAGGCTTCCTCCCCTGACCTCTGATTAAGCCAGCCGTGGGCAAACTACGGCCCTCGGGCTGGATCCGGCCCGTTTGAAATGAATAAAACTAAAAAAAAAAAAGACCGTACCCTTTTATGTAATGATGTTTACTTTGAATTTATATTAGTTCACACAAACACTCCATCCATGCTTTTGTTCCGGCCCTCCGGTCCAGTTTAAGAACCCATTGTGGCCCTTGAGTCAAAAAGTTTGCCCACCCCTGGATTAAGCAGATGACCTTTAAAGCAATTAGGGAGAAGTACACACACACACATACTACATGTATATATAATACACATAAATGTATAATACACACATGCGCACACATGTATATACACATGTGCGCACGCACATAGTATACACACATATGCATATACACATATACACATATGTATAACTTCAAATTTAAACAAACTTTTTTTTATTGGCTTACATATTTCTTCAGTTTCTGAGAAAGAACTTTATATCATGGGACTCGAACCTTTTTCTGGATTTGGCCACTTATTGAATCTGGAGACCATCTGTGTCTCACATTAGCATGATCATCCAGCAGTGACTGGAGTGGCAGAGGCAGAACAGGGGACAGCCCTGAACACTGGCTGCTCCAATGCAGGGCTCCAAAGCTGTAACCTGAGGAATTACAGAAAGGCTGCCCAGCTGGGTGTGGCTCAGTGTTTGAGCGTAGACCCAGGAACCAGGAGGTCACCGGTTCAATTCCCAGTCAGGGCATATGCCTGGGTTGCGGCTCCATCCTCAGTAGGGGGCATACAGGAGGCAGCCGATCAATGATTCTCTCTCATCATTGATGTTTCTATCTCTCTCTCCCTCTCCCTTCCTCTCTGAGACATATATAATTTTTTTTTTTAGAGAAAGGCTATGGAGGGGACCAATAAAGCCCAATGGGAAATAGTGGAGACAGGAAGCTGGACTCCATTCCTGGCTCTGCTACTAATCATGTGTAAGGACTTGACAAGCCCCTGCCTTTCACTGGACTTCCTTTCAAACGTTGGCTCTGCTGATCTCTCAGGATCTTTCCAGAGATGATACAAATGACTACTGTATCTTCTTGACTGAAAGGCTCTGGCCTTGTGTCAGAATAATCAGTGGTATGAATTTTCCCAAGGGCAGGAATACAGTTAGTCTTCATTGACTTGTTACTTTTTTAATCAACTCATCCTCCTCTACAAGTTTTACAAGTATAGTGTGTGTGTGTATGTGTATGTATGTATGTATGTATGTATTGGGGAGTGGAGGAAAGAGCAGTTGAGTTTTTACCAAAGAGATATATGTTTCAGGTAGCCTGAATTCCCAGTTACAAAAATCATTTATTTTATTTGCATAGATTGTGCCATTTGCTCATAATATTCCCAGGGGGCTGGTTAACCCTCAGAGAGTAACAGAATTTAGTTTTGAACTTCTTAGTTTGTCCACCCCCTACATATCAGGTGAATTACTAAAGATTATTCTCTTATTATTTTGTCTTGCTACAAGATTCCTTTTAAACTGCGCTCCCTATGTCTTCAGCTGTTGGCTTTGAGAGTATTGCTTGATAGAGACTAATATTGAGAATCACTCACAATGTCAAAGTCAGGCACCTCTGCTCAGAGGATGGCTGGTAAAAAGTGCAAAGGAAACCTTTCTCGAGTTGGAATATGAAACAGTAAAAAATTGCTTCGTTGACATTTGCTTAGGTTGCAGATACCTTTCCAGGAGTGCATGAATGACTTGGTTTAAAGCAAGATTAATTTGTCTTACAGAGTTAGGGTAGAACTCAAATGCCCACAGGCCACCTTATTCTCTAGCTTTTGGCCCTCAAAACCTGTCTGTGTTATTATCACGTATCTCTTGTCTTGCTGAGTGCAACACCTCTTCCAATGCACACTGCTCCCCAAGAATCTACTCACAGAAGCATTTAAGAGAAATGTAGACTTTTACTGAGTATTTCACTGACCTAGGAGGAGGCAACAGAGCATGCTGTTCAGCAAAGGACTTAAAATTTCCCTTTAGTCTTTTCTGTTCTCCCAAGTCCTTCTCATCCATACCACCCCTGCTGATTTTTTCCCTTCTTTTAGATCTTTTCTAAACTTTAACAAACTTTCCTGAATTTTGACACCTTTCTTTTCTCTCCTCCTTCTTGAGAAACATGCAAATTTTGTTTCATTCTTTTGTGTAGCAGTTAAGAGCCCCTTTTCTTTCTGAGGAATAACCTCAGCAGCTTACACTTTAAGTCCAGTGGAACTTTCAAACAATAAGATGCTGCTTCAGAGATGATGTACAGTTGTAAGGGTTGATGGAGCTAGAGAATCTCCTAGTTATCCAAATCAGGAGACGAGGTTGTCATTGTGCAGAGAAGTTCTTTATGCCATTTCCAAGGTTGTCATTGTCTGTCAACAACTTTGTGGGGCCTTAAAAGCTCCCACAGAAATGATTTTCTGAGAGGTGTTTGAAGCAGGGAGCAGGATGAGATCATGTGGGAGATGGCAGCAGCTATGCCCTGACCAAATGATTGCATCTTCTGCCCATTGCACGATGATTTGAGAGTGTGCTGAAGGCATAGCACTTTTCTGACAGGAAACAGAAACTCTCTGTTGTTGAGTTCTTGTCCATCTTAACTGGAATGGAGTCAAACCTGATCAGATGGTTTCCCAAATATCCACAAGGCCTCTTCGGTTCTGGGTGGTCAGTTTGGCAGTCCTTTCTTATGCATTTTAGGTCCTACAATTCACACCATTTGGCAGGTGTCCTGAACTTTGTCTCCAAATTCTGACTCTGCTGAGGTGGTGTGCAGCCAGATGCTGCCAGTACCATTGGTTTCACACTGGTGGGGGGCCTTCCCTTTGGTTGGGGGCTTCCAGAACTCTGTCTGGAATCCAGGTCTGTGATGAGAGAGGCTGGTCTTCTGAGATGGAGGAGACTTTGGAGAGACTCGAATCCAGCCCCTTCATTTTTCAGACGTGGATCCTGAGTTCCAAGGAGGGGAAAGGAATAGGTCCAGGTCATACAGTGAGTTAGTGGTTGGAACATACATCCGTCCCTTCTGATTCCCTTTGGGGGCTCTGTCCACCACACGACATTGCTTCCTTGCCTTCTCTCTGAAAGACACTTCACTCAAAACTCTCTTTTTAACCCTGGAGCTGTATCTTTCCAAGAGACAGAAGGAGAAGCATACTATGTAATACCCTTTGTGGTTTCAGTCTTGGTCTAGTTTCCTTTTTGCCCAAGTGTTTGGATGGATGAGGTGTTGTATGGTAGAGGCCAGGAGAAAGGGTTCAGTCTGAACTACTGTATAAGAAGATGGATAGTACATTCTCAAGGGGAAAGGTGTTTGTATCCACATACTGGAACTTATCCACCTTGACCGAGATGGTGGTATTGACCTGGAGGTGCTCTAGCAGGAACTGAGAGAGGTTCTGGTATATGTTTTTGGTTTGTACTCCAGACTCGCACACTGTCACCAAAGTCTGCCTTTTGACATCTTGGTTGATGAGAAGTTCCAATTTTAGGTCGACAGAATGTTCTGGGCATTCCACCAGAAACTGCAGTTGGCAAATAATGAAGTACCAACCTGGAAACTGGATCACCAGGTTCCCATCATGATATCTGAGTCCATGGACAATGCCATCTTGGTTCCAAGACAACTTGGTTTTGTTTATGTGCTTTGACACTGGAAAGAGAAGGAAAAACAAAATCACAATTATTGGGCAGAATGCAGGTGCAGACCAGAAAATTTGAAGCCTTTATTCAAAATTCCTGTTGGGGTCCAGCCCGGAAACAACCTTTCTCGGAGAGGTGACCTTGGTTAAAACACATAGCGCCAAGAAGGGGAGCAAACACATCAAGAACAGTATGCCATATATGCCAGGTCCCCCGAGACATATGCTGTGCAGATGTTTCTTCCCTGCAGCAATCGTGTCAAGCAGCAAGGATGGACTGGCTTCCAGCAAGTTCCCCCTTCAAGACTCCTTCCTGTCTTCTATATTATCTGCTTTCCCAACTATCCAGAATATCTCCTGTGTTACTCTTTTTTAGGTGCTGCTTAATATTTAAGGCACAGCTACAAAACTGCCCCTCTTCCCTTTTTCCAATGCCAAAGTTGAGGGTCTGAACCTCCTATAGAATTGTTTTCCACTTATTACTAGAGGCTCGATGCACAAAATTCGTGCAAGAGGCTCAGCCCTCGCAGCCTGGCTACTTCAGCCGGCCCTCGCAGCCCCTTGCAGCCTTGACCAGCCCTTGCAGCCCCAGCTTCATCCAAAAGATCATCCAGACAGTTGTTGGGATGGTTGTTCTGCTGTTCAGTCTAATTAGCATATTAGGTCTTTATTATATAGGATTCTGTTATCATAATTACTAGAGGCCCGGTACATGAAAATTTATGCACTGGAGGAGGGGTCCTTCAGCTGGCCTGTCCCCTTCCACAGTCCGGGAGCCCTCAGGGGCAGGAGGCGACCCGGTGATCAGGGGAAGGTGACACCCCATCATACCTCTGCTGCTGCCACTGCTGGCAGTGCAAGCCTTAGCCGGCCCTGGTTACCTAAGCCACAGGCAGCCCTGGGCGGCTGGGCAGCTGCCATCTGAGGCTTGCCTGTGCCTCAGGCTGGCCCTGGGCAGCTGGGGGGCTGAGGGGACTGGGGGACTCTGGAGGCAAGTGCACAGAGCGGCTGGGCCTGCCTGGGGGCGGACCCAGCCTTACCACACCCACCTGGGGGTGGGCCCGGCCTTGCCACGCACCTGCTGCCCCAGCGGGGCCGAGGGGACTGGGCCCTGCCATCCTGTGGCTGTGGGTGCCTCCATCTTTGAGGGAGAGGCAATCAATTAGCATATTTTCTCTTTGTTGGCTGTGGGCGTGCCATCTTTGCAACAGCATGAGGGTCAATTAACATATTCCCTCTTTATTAGATAGGATTATCTTTGCCTTTTCAGACTATAACCTCCTGGGCTGTATTCCCCACAAGTTCTGTACTATCATGTTCATTTTTAAAAAATATATTTTTATTGATTTCAGAGAGGAAGGGAGAGGGAGAGAGAGAAACATCAATGATGAGAGAGAATCATTGATTGGCTGCCCCCACTGGGGACCAAGCCTGCAACCCAGGCATGCGCCCTTGACCAGAATCAAACCTGGGACCCTTTAGTCCATAGGCTGATGCTCTATCCACTGAGCCAAACCAGCCAGGGCTCATGTTCATTTTTTCAATCAATCAATAAATGTTTGATCAATGGGAGGACTACTATTTGGTGGGCATTGCACAAAATACCATAGATAGGACATTTATTTATGTTCAGTTAGTAACCAGTTTAGGCATTAAGATGTCCAGGAGAAACTTAATCTATTCGCTTTCATATTAAGATGTATCCTTTAGCCATTCATTGTCTAAATTTTTGAATGTCTTCCTCTCTTTGTAAGGGCAGCCAAACATGACTGTGTAGACCCTTTACATGTAGACACTTAAGGGGCTCTTCCCAGCTGGGCTTGTAGAAAAGCAGAGCATTAGCAGATCCTCTAAGCCAGGGGTCCTCAAACTTTTTAAACAGGGGGCCAGTTCACTGTCCCTCAGACCGTTGGAGGGCCGGACTATAGTTTAAAAAAAAACTAGTTGGCTGCTAAGCAACAGGCTAAGCCAGCGGTTCTCAACCTGTGGGTCGCCAACCTGTGGGTCGCCAACCTGTGGGTCGTGACCCCTTTGCGGGTCGAACGACCCTTTCACAGGGGTCGCCTAAGACCATCAGAAAATGCATATATAATTACATATTGTTTTTGTGATTAATCACTATGCTTTAATTATGTTCAATTTGTAACAATGAAAATACATCCTGCATATCAGATATTTACATTACGATTCATAACAGTCGCAAAATTACATTTTTGAAGTAGCAACGAAAATAATTTTATGGTTGGGGGTCACCACAACATGAGGAACTGTATTAAAGGGTCGAGGCATTAGGAAGGTTGAGAACCATTGCTCTAAGCCAACATGTTCATGTCAGAAGCCAAGGCTCTCTGAGCCCTAACAAGTGAACATCAGCCCTGATCGGTCAGGGTGCCTTTCAGAGCTGGGAAGCTGGTGTGTTCGTTTTAATTGCCTCTATGTCTTCTTCCCTTTAAACCTCATTGCAATTCAATTGAAAAGTGCAAACTAATTTAACTGCAGAATTGAATTTCTAAAATGAGCAGAAGGGCTATTTGGAGAATCCTGGATATCTTCTCCAGATCTCATTTTTCCCGGTGTAAATAGCTCTCATTATTTCATTTAGAAGGGGCCTCTTACCTTGCTGCAATATGCAAATAGGCCCTGTGCCAACATGTTCATTAAGCTGTCAATCTGGGGACAGGGCAGTTTTGTGGTTCCCTTGGGAATAACTTGATAGAGGCAGAGCTTAAGAGCCTGCTTCCCTTGTATGAGGAAAAGCACTATGCATGTGGCCTGCAACTTGTAGGTGGCAGAATAGAAGTGGTGGAGTTGGGGCCCAGATGCCTTCAGGGGCCAGGTAGGCAAAGGGAAGGAGAGAATGGGGCTGAGGAAAGATGAGTCTTGTAGTTTTAGAGTAACTCTCTTCTCTTTCCTCCTAAGGAATTTTAATTCAAATGATTAAAAAACAAAAGCTTACAGGCTAAGCAGAATACATCTGCAGGTCACATTTGGCCTTGGGCCTCTACTTATGGCCTCTGGCTTAGAAGTTTCTGGAAGACCACAGGAAGTGGCTCTCGGTGGTTGGGGTTCAGGGGCTTGGTTACTGACCTTGGAGGTAGGCCCATGACTTCTTGAACGGAGCCCTCTGCAGGATACATAAGATGTCCTCTGAGCAGTTTCCTAAAAACAAGAGCACACGTTGACTGTCTTCCTCTGCTCTGGGACCTGGAGACACCAGACCTTTTTCCGTGACCCTTTGATGGAGATGGTTACCATTCAGTTTCCATCTGGGGGCAAAGGAGATCTATCTGTGTGTTTCTCATTTTGCCATCAGGTTCCTTAGATTTCAAAAAGTTGATTGCTTCCACTTGGGCTTTTACAAAAGACTGTGGAAGTTGGGGGAACGAAAACATATATGACCTGGGTTCCTATGTGTACCAGGTGCCATTCCTGTCCGATTACTTATCTCACCTCACTTCATCTTTGGGGAAATTCCATAAGAGAGGTATCATTAAGTCCATTGGACAGAGAGAAAAAGCCTGGGGACCAGACAGATGAAGTACCTTGTCCCAGGTCACTCAGCCAGTGGGGGCAGTCAGGACAATATATGATGGAAATTGTTGCTGTCCTTCCTGTAAGAGTGCACCAAACACTGGGCGGGGTACCTGTACGTATTTCAGCTCATGTGATTCTCGGAATAACTCTGCAAGGTTAATTCTGACGCTTAGACACATGGTCAGTGGTACAAGGTCAAGCAGGTTGGTGGAAATGCTGAGATTCACCTCCAAGTCTACACGGTTCCAGAAGCTAGGCTTCCTCCTTGAGGCTGTTTTGCTAGACAGTGGGAATAAACACACCCTTGTGCTTAATTTTGAGAGGATATAGGATCAAGATAAACACATCCTTGTGCTCAGTTTTAAGAGGATATAGTATAGGATCAAAGTGTTCTAAGCAGGGAGCCTGCTATCATGAGCTCCCTTGGCAGGTGGAAAAAGACAATGTTTATGTCATTATGGTATTTAAGATATAAAAATATTTTAAATATATACATTGGTGATTTTGGCTTAGCTTCTTCTTCTTATAGTAACTCTTTTATATGCAAAGAACCAAGTTACACATTTCCTGCAGTGCCTCATGAATTCAACTCACTCTGGAGAAATTCCCTTTCGTCTTTGTGCCCCGGCTGTAAAACTGGTAGGTCTATAACCAGACACTGACATCTTTTGGATGATATCACAAATGACTATTCATTCCAGCCATCAGACACCAGGCAGCCAGGAGCCAATTCAATTGAAGCCACCTCAGTCATGAATTTGCTTACTGGTCTCTGAGCAGTACTCAGACTCACAGTCTTCCTCACCGCCCTCTCCTCCCAGGCCCAAGAAAAATCTCTCCTGGTTCTTCACAGCACTGGACTTGGAAAGGTTGAATGTTAAGTGGAGAGTTCCCTCTGCTGTCTGAACAAGTTTGCTGCTAGAGGCCCCTTCAGCAGGAGCAGAGGGTGGGTTCATCCTTATCTGTCCTCAACCCTTAAAGAGGCTCTGCAGGATCAGGGCCATGCTCCTCCACATGGCATCCATGCTCCCTGGGTTCTTGTCCCTCATCTTCTGACCTAATTAATAATAATAGTAGCAATAGTAGTGCTAGTAATGATAATAATAGCTCATATTTGTCTGACCCTTCCCTTTGTCTGCCTATCTTCCTCCATTGGACTGTAAAGAGACTACTGTTCATACATTCCCCACTGCCCAGCCCAGAAGATGCTCCACAAATGTTTGTTGAATTGAATCATCCAGTTCTTCCCTCTTCCTTCTCTCTGTGAAAGTCAGCTAAGTGCTCAAGGCATGAGCGAGGTGAATGGGATGTTTGGCTTGCTTTTCCCCTCAGGGTTGAGATAACACCTGGGTTCATTCTCCCATTAGTCCTGCAGGTTCTGTTAGATTACATGAGAGGATAAGACTGAGACCAACATATCCCAGCAAGGACAGGCTCTGCTCATAGGCCAGAAGTCCCCCCCAGCATGCCATCTCAGGTGAGCTTCTGTAGGCAGATGACTACAGAAGTACAAGCCTGGGCTTGCCTCTCACACATGCAGCTGCTTTTGTTCTTTCCCCTTTGCTCTTTGCATGTTTGGTGGGTTGACCTCAGTTGTAATTCTGAGAAACCCAAGGATGGAAAAACACACATCTTATTTTGAAACATTTGCATTTCCTGAAGTCAAATGGCATGGCGTATTTTATTTTTTCTTGAACCTTTTAGATGGTTTCAAGAGAAAGGAAAAACATGGGCAGCCCCCCATGACATGGCTAAGGAAAAGGGACCCAGGATGCTGGAGGAGTTTTAAATGGAATGGGTGGGGTGGCTGAACCTGGAGAGGAGCCCAGAGGGGCCTTTGCCACCTGACAAGGAGGCTGTCAGCAGGAAGACGGTGCAGCCTGCTCTGCGGAGCCCACACACTGAGGCTCCAAGTGCACTCAGCTAATGGCCAACGCTGCTCTTATCCTCAGTTCTCAGGCGAGGCGATGGGAGGATCTCATCTGAGGACACACAAACCACACTGGAAGTCGTAGTACTGGCACCTCAAAATCTGACCAGTTGGTGCCAGTCAAAGAGGCATTGGGTGGCTTTTCAGGGTTGTAGGGCTCTTGCCAAGAGCTGGGTGAACTTTATATGTGGCTCATGTCTCCTCATCACCCTGGGACACCATGATCTGACTTTCTTTTTTGGTTATGAAGACGAGGAGTGACTTATGAATAGCTAGTGTTACATATAGTTGGAATCCTGTCATGCCCCTGGAATCTGGGGTGCTGGGAGCATAGGGAGCAACACACTCCCTGTTTCATTCATTTCCCAGATGAATGTCATGTCTGGGGGTGGGGGTTAGTTTGAAGAGCTGAAGACTTACATGGGAAAATGAGAACCTTCTGTAAGTCATGGTTGAGTTGGGGGCCTGGGAGTTCCCCTCTCTGGGCCCTCGTGTCCCTAGCTAGATGAGGAGCAGTGTGGATTTGATGATCTAGAAAGGCCCATCTAACCTGTTCTAGTAGGCTGTGTAGACTCACTGTATACTGCCAGGCCTATTACGGGGGGAAAGTTAGTCCCAGCCCCAGCTGTCTGCTTTTGTGGGCATGTTGCTTTATCCCAGCTAAGAGACTGTCTTCACATATTCAGATTTCCAGACACATACCGTGGTAGAACAGACCATTTTAGCTCTGGGATAATCAAGGTTACAAAGAGTCTGGTTCCTTAGGATTTGCATGGTTCATAGAAATGGAAATTCCCTGAGAAGTCACCGGGGCCAGGCATGGTAGCCACATAATGTATGTGCTCCTCAACGTTATCCCCACAGCATGCTTGTCCTAGGTCACTCTGTGAGTTAGTGACAGGGGCAGGACCAGAGTCCAGGGCTCCTTACGCCTTATGTGCGGCATTCCATCCTTCAAACAACTCAAGTACTCTGAATTCTTCTGAGGAACAAGGCCTTCCAATTGGAAAGATTTGTAAGCTCTTTTCCCAAGCTTTGGACTCCTCTGGAAGGATCATGAAACTTTCTTAGGCTTTTTTTGAAAGCCCTAAGAGTAATATGTGGCAATGAAACCCTCCTAGCTAGTTGCACAGAAGAGAGGTGTTGCTTAAGGTAGTTGAAAGGATCATGTTCTAGACATCAGAATAGTGATAATCTGAAGACTGGACCCCACCTTGAAATCTTATAAGGTTAGGCCTGAAAGGGCCATTAGATGCCAAGTTAACCATGATCCTAGTCCTATGAATGGGGAGACTGAACCCAAAGGGGCTGAAAGTGTGGCTAAGACCCCGCAGTAGGTCAGGAGCAGAGCTGGGCTCAGAACACCCCTAGTCTAAGGCTCTGTTCCTATTGTTTGGTCTTCCTATGGAGCAGAGAAGAAGTGGGTTTGCAGCCACCATAAACCCTGGATGGAAAACAGGACAGCTAGGAAAACAAATCTCTGGGCTCCCCTTGTGGGAGAATACCAGAAAGTGACTCCAGGCCCTTGTACCGAACCTTGCCAAGTCATCAGTCAGGGTCAGTCAGGCTAATAATAGTAAGATGCAACAATGCCCAGGGTGGCAAAACAAGCCACACTAAGCACTGCAGCCAGATGGTATGTACCTGAGTGCCAGGCACCATACAGGTTGATATCAGGATGAGATAGACACAGTGCATCTCAAAACAAGCCCCTGGGTTCTGGTCAAGGCTTTTAGCTGCCACTTCCTCTTACTGACCCTCAGTGACTGCTTCTATAACAGTGGGGATAACAGTCAACCCAAATGTATGGATGTAGTGATGATGCAATGAGATTATGGATGTCCAGTGGGCAATGCAGGATGTGACATAGAGGAGACAGCCAGCAAGTGGTAGTCCCTTCCTCCCAGACTCCTCTTTTCCTAATAATACCACTTAGCAGAGCAATATGGCTAATGAAATGCTCATTAAAACACAGCTCGTGGCATTACCTGATGGATCAGAGTGTCTCAATTACGTATATAAGTGTTTGAGGTCATCTGACATTTCCGGAAAAGTGTGCAGAATCCACCTTCCATCTGTTGAAAATATTTAATCCTCCCAGGAAGGAGAGGGGTTATTCTGATGCCTCTGCATCTACCTTGTCCTGGCTTCTATTCCATCCGCCTGGGAGCATAGCCAGGAGAGTCCCAACAGTGACATCTAGGGGAGAGTCTCTCCAGTATCGGTAGGAGTTGGAATCAAAGTTCATCCTCAACTGGCTTTAACTTAACCGCTTTCTTGGTGCCCCCAGGCCAACTAGTGATGGAGAAACTCTATGACAGGTGACCTTGGACTTACAAACAGCAGTTTTAGGGACTACCCACGCTGGCATGCTCACTGTTAAACACATAAAAAGTGATCAGTAGTACAAACTTGAGGTCAAGGTGCGACTCAGTTGAATCCCTTAACGGTTCCTTACGATGTTGGGGCTTTTCAATGCTGACCTGTTGCAGTATGTAAGATAAACCTATCTGACCCTATGGGTATTTTCTTGAAATTCGCTCCTGCTAAATGCAGGTTGAATAGATATTATTGGGGGCATTTAAGAAGCACCTTTAAAGTCTATAAGCTAAAAGGCAAAGTAAATCTGGAGTCTTGGGTGCGATTGGCTAACCTTTTAAATTCTGTTTGGAAAAAACTTCCTAGCTTATTCTAG